CACCGTCACTGCCCTAGGAAGTGAGATAACAAGACTAAACCTGAACCCTCCTTTGAGTACAATCTTCACTGGCTTGCACTCGAAGCCAGAGGACCAAGGGGGGTGGCCATTTCAGCCAGATTAAACTTTAGCTACCCTGAAGAAACAACACACTGGCAAGCTCATCTGATACTGCAGACTATGATAATTTAGTGTCACTGTGCCAGTCACGGGGCAGACTTCAGACAAATGGCGCCAGGTCCCAATGGATGTGTTGGTGGAGATCAGGACCCAGGCTTGCTGTTCTGAGTTCGGAACACTGCAAGTGAAACTCTAGATAGTCTGATGACTGGGGATCCCAGAACACTCAACACTGATGGAGGTACTCCATGAGCCCCCAAGGGTGCTGAGGAGACCAAGGGGGCCACGAGCAAATCCTCCACTCAACTCATGACAGAATCAGTTCATTGCCATCCCTTCTCTGTGTCAGGCTCCCTATGAGGTTTAATTTTGGAAACATTTTGACATCACTTAAAGGAGAGTTAAGGAAAAACAGAAAGGCAAACATCACCAGTCATAAAAATGCACAGAGATGTGAAAATTCCTAGAACAAAAATAATATTAAGGAAAGAAAAATATGTACTCAAGGAAAACTTCAAGACTTGTCCTACCTGGAAGAGGTGGTTCAACAGTAGATACAGAGAAGATCCTCTCACTTAATTCTCCATTGCTGTCAGGTTTCTAGTAATCCTCAGAGAAATGGAGTCTTCCTTGCCAGCTTTGCCCTTCTGCTGTCTTTCAGGGATGGACACAGCCTTTTATTGTGGTGATTATTCATCCTCCTAAATGCACACACACACACACACACACACACGCGCGCACACACACACGCACACACACACACCTCTGTATATCTAAGGCAATCCTCTTCACTGACCTACTGCATGGTGTGGGCTAAACCTTCAAATCTCACTTCAGAATTCAAGAAGTAACTTACATCCGTTTCCTAGACAGTTCTTATTTTTATATCATGCCATTTTTATGCAGCACTTCAGTAAAATTGCAGACTCTGTGCTCTTCAGGATAATCACTTGCTCTATATTCTTTTTTTGTTTTGTTTTGTTTTGTATTGTTTTGTTTTTTGAGACAGGGTCTCACTATGTAGTTGAGACTGACCTGGAACTCACTATGTAGCCTAGGCTGGTCTCGAACTCACAGCAATCCTCCTGCCTCAGCCTCCCGAGTGCTGGGATTACAAGTGTGCATGCTCCATATTCTTTAAGGTTGGGATTTCTTCACAAATTATTACCTATATATTGCATATTAGACTCACTAGATCTATTTTGATATTTTGGTACTTTCACATTTAAGAGCTTGGAAGGACTTAGTTTATTTTGTAGGTAAAGAAGAATCGCAGAAAAACTGAGCTTTCCAAGAGTACCCTAGGGAATCTCATTTGTGCACAAATGTTGGTAGCAGAACTACCCACAATCACCAAAAACTGGAAACAGCCCAAACTAAACTAGATTTAGTTTAACGGGTGAGCACAAGGGGAACACTTCTCATCAAGGAATAAACTATTTTCTGGTAACAACTTGGGAGAATCTCAAAGTCATGCAGCTAAGTGAAAGAAGTCAGTCTCGAAACACTATGTACAGTATGACCTCAGTTACACGATATTCTCCAAAAGACAACGCATAGCGCGGAAGGACTTAACAGTGGTTGCTGAAAGTCAGGTGTAAGCAAAGGTTGTGACTATAAAGGGATAGAACAGAAGGGATTTGGGGAGTGAGGGAATTGTTCTATAATGTGATTATGGTAGTGGATACACAGACTGTTCTGTAAACTTACAGAACCACACAGGTGAACAAAGTAGTTAATTTTATTGTGTGTAATTGTAACTGTATTGTAATTTTTTAAATAAAATTGAAAAATGTGCTGGAATTGTACTTCCTACCCCATCAAACCTGGGTCTTCCTCTCTGCCTACATACGAGACCCTCTCTAATCTGCTCCTCACCTAGGTCTCCAGGAGTGTCCTCTCACTGTCCCATGAGCAAGCTGTGCCCCTCCGTCCACCCTTCTCTGATCTCCTTGGAGCACTGGTTGCAATACTAGCTTTGGACATGAAAGAGCTCCTTGGGTGGATCCTCCTCCTCCTCTCTCTCTCCCCTCTTCTCCTCCTGTTTTTATTCAAATCAAGTCCCACCTCTTTGCTTGCCTGCTGGGGTCACTCCTGGCACACTTTCCTTTCTCTGTCATCTAGGCCCCTAAACACTACTATTATTGTACTGATTTTGCTGCATTTCCTCAATTAGATTTTTAGTCACTTGAAAGCCTGCATGTGCTCTGTTTTGTTTTGTTTTGCATAGCCAGAACTTCAAATGATGAAAACAGCTTGTACCACAGAAATTCCAATAAATACCCCACTTTTAAAACATTAGCATTGGAATGAATGAACAGGTATTAATCCTAGGGAAAAAGAAACCTAGTCCTGATTAGAAGTAGCTTGAAGTTTCCCTTATTTCTAAGTCTTCTCCCATGGCTAACAATATTCTCAATCTTTATCTTTCCTGACATTTGTTAACAAGAACCATTTGGCTCAACTCACACTTCATACCCTCTAATCATCTTCTGACTTCTGTCACTCAGAAACCCGGACATTTCCTTTGTGTTCTCTGATTTGCAGGATATTTAGATTTTTAATTTCATCCTACCCCTTTCCCAGGATTTTCTCAGTGCTGGGTAGTTTATAGCATGCATATACTTCCCCCCTCATGAAGTTTATCTTGCACTTCTAACTCCGACTTTGTCATTTTTACTTCTCACATGTCTGTGGCCTCAATGTAAGAATAACCCTGGGCTGTGGAGCATCGTTACCTGTTTGCCCTGCCTCCTCGGCCGTACGTCAGCACCCAGTGCTGGGTTCCCTGCCCACTGTGCTGCTGGTGTTCTGCTTCTGGCTGCCTTCTCTGCTCTCCCTCACTCTCCCACTGGGAACGGTGGCTGCTACGAGCCCACTCTGCCCGGCCATCACAATGGAGAGGACTTGCTTCTTCTTGGAGCGGCTTGAAAAGCCCGAAGTGGAGCTTCAGGGCTCTTATTTTTCACTTTGGTCCTGAAATGTGGCCCAGAGGCTCCTCACTGTTTTCATGTATAAAGCCATAACACCACCAGGATTTAAATGGTCTCTTAAATGGCCGTTTGTCTTTTTTGTTCTGTTTTTTGTTTTGTTGTACCAGGGATTGAACTCAGGACATTGTGCTTGTCAGGCAGGTGCGGCACCACTGAGCTACAACCTTGGCCCTCCATTTGTCTTTGACGGAAAGAGATTGATCGCCTTTGCCTGTCCCTTGTAGACAGTGAGGGGAAGCAACAGAGAAACAGGACAGCAGAGATTCTAGAAGAGCAGAGACTGCGTGCAAAGGAGTCAGTGCTTCTCCTCTGAGAACTTGGCTATCTGCGTCCTCGTCACCATCACTGCTTCAGCAGCGTTAACAGGAAAATCACCCAAAATATTTCCACATGTCAAGATAAGGCAGAATCTGCTCCCTTCCTGACTTACATTCCAGAACCGTAAGAAAAATTCTAGAATGCGACCCATGCAGCCCATCTGATGCTCTAGTAGCTGCAATTCACACTCAGTGGCCATGGTGGTTTCGAGGGACAAAATCTACAATTCACTGCACGAATAGGATGGTGGTGAATGAACTAAGTAGCACCACAAGGAAGGACCCAGTGCCACAGGGAGGTGGGAAGGCTCACCTCAAACCATCCAGAGGTGATTCTGTGTGTAACCTGGGTGTGCATGAGAGCGTACAGGTGTGTACGAGAGGGAGAGGGAGACTTACAAAAAGTTTCAAATTGTATCCTGGGGATCTTTTGGGCCCACACCTGGGTAGGAGCTGACATGATCAATGCCTGTTGAAAAATCTCATTTTTATGCTGTCTTAGTCACTTTCCTCATCACTGAGACAAAATATCCAATACCTGCAATTAAAAGGAAGCGAGGTTTATCTTGGCTCACAGTTGCAGAAATCTCAGTCCTTGCGTGGTTGGCAGCAGGGCGGAGGAAAGCTGCTCACATCATGGCGCCCAGGAAGCAGAGAGGAAGGGAGGAGCCGGGGAGGGAGGTGCACTTTTCCAAGTCACGCCTCCCAGCGAGTGACCTAGCTCTTCCAAACACACCCCACCTCCCAATAGCAAGGCAGCTACGGGGCCCCACGATTCAGTCTCCCTCAAAAAGCCCCACCTATGGGCACATGAGGCCTTTGGGGGACATTTTCCACCCAAACCATCACATATGTTTTCAATCTGAGGATGCTTTTCGATTATGGAAAATTGTCAGCTATACTGAAATATCTATCAGGTTTCCATTTCTGTTTTGGAACTGTTATATTCTGGCTATGCTGATGCTTGACTCTACTTTTATGGGTCTCTCAGGTGCTTCTTAATCCATTCTGTGGTCAGAATGAATACCTCAGCATGCTTTTCCATTCATGAACTAAAGCTGCCCTTTGGAAGAGGCGTGCTATGCTGCAGGAAGACCCTGGAGCCAGGCCTCCTCGAAGCTCGGCTTCCCGTCTGATTGCACCACTCCTACAAATTGTAACACAGGTTGCTAAGGACAATCTTCCCACCTCAGTTCCCTCTTGCCCTTCCTGCCCTATTTTATCTTTAAGTTTTAGGTTACCAGAGAAAAATGTCAGAAAGAGGTCCTATACATTGGATTAACCGCAAAATGGACATCTGTGGTCACAAGAGGACCTCTTTTCCAAGACCCCGCTGCAGTGTGTGCTTTGGGGTAATGTTTATACCAAGCATCCCTCCATCCCTCCACCCAGCACCATTTAAATCTCTTGTTCACACTTTACTGGTTGAAGGTTATAAATGCTTTAGGAGCCGCTGAGCTTGCAGCATTATTATTTTATTAGAAGGTTGAATATCTTTTCTTCATAGTTATGTTACTAGTGAAATTTTTCTTTCTCTTAAAAATGTTCATGTTATGCATGTTATGAAATGGCACCTGACAGGATGCAAGTAACTCTTCAAAAGTGGTTTGGCTCATCGGGAAGTGAGTCTGGATAGCCCTAGGATTTGTATATTGTGTACTGACCTACACATAATTTAGAGAAGAAAAGGATTTTTATGATACTCTAACAACTTGACTCAGTGCAATCCTTCTAGAATCAGTATGTGGTTGCTGAACTGAATTGTATTCAAACCTTGATAACCATCCAAACAATTAGCCAAAAGTTTCCATGGCACACACAGGGAGGGGAATGTAAAATAGAGGACAAAGTCAACTGGGTGGTCCTTGAAAAGCCACTGTGCAGTTCTGAACATCGGCTTCCACATTGTCTTGTCTGTGATATTCCTTACTTTTCTCCAAAACTGAGAATCAATGAGCTGGGGGAGGAGAAAGGAGAGAAATGATTGCTTTTAGAAAGCTGTAGCGCAAGTAAAAGTCTAGACGTCCAGCATTCCAATGACAAATCATGTTTACCAACGCAGAAGACCAAATACTCCCAACTTCCCAAAGGGAGCCCCACGGTGCTGCCTCCCTCCACCCTCCCATGGCTCTGACCATGGGGTTTCCTATTGATTATGCTACTCACCTCCCTCTCTTACTTTAAGAGAGTCTTGTCTTCTTAAATCCCAAATTCAATTGTTACTTCTAATCTATGGCCTTCCTGGGACAAACCTTTCCTACCTCACACATACACATAGCAAGAATTACTCCCCCATTGTGGTTCTCATTGTAAACCTTAATCCACTCATTCACTTATCTTTTCGTAGACAACCATCTATGAAATATTTGCTATGTGCCACAGCACTGGAGATAAAAAGATTAACAAAACATAATCTGAACCCTTAGGTCCACGCATTTGCATTTCTACATTATATTGAAGTTCAAAGGAGAAGACATTATTGGAACCATTTTTATATTTTAATACTTACCATTGTCTAGCACACAGTAGTTTTCCCAAAGATACCCTCTTTTTTCCTGGCCCTGCTCCTCCATCCTTCCCCTTTCCCTTCCTCCTTCCCTCCCTTCCTTTCCACTGCTGGGCATTGAACCCAAGGTCTTATGCATACATTCTATGCAAATGCTCTGCCAGTGAACAACATCCCCAGGAATTTTTACGTTATTTTTAAGATAGGGTTTTGCTAAGTTGCTCAAGCAGGCCTCAAACTTATTGTCCTCCTTCCTCTGTCTCCCAAAAAGGTAGAATTATAGGCACATAGCACCACGCTTGGTCAAGAGAGATCTTAAATTTCATTAAAAGGAAAAAGTAAGGACTTCATCCTAAAGACTGTGGGTAATGTAATAGGAGGTCTCCAAAGATTGGGTCAAAAAAGAACCTTCTTCTTCTAGGGATTCTTGTAATCTTCAAATAAAATTACAATTTTTTTAGCTTATTAACTCAGGAAATATTTATCAAGGGTTTATCCTTTCCTGGATTTTGTGTTAGATGTTGAAGAAAAGATAAATAAGCACGACATAGACATGTATATCCATGTATAGGAATGTTATTAGCACAGCTGTTCCTCCTTATCCGTTGGTTCACTAGCTGCTGTTTTAGTTATCCACAGTCAACTGCGGTCTCAAAAATATGACATGGAAAACTCCAGAAATAAACAATTCACAACTTTAATCTTGGCACCATTCTGGTAGCATGGTAAAATCTTACGCCCATTTGGCGTCTCATGCTCCACCTCCCACGCCTGAGTTGAATTAATGTTTTGTCAAGTGTACTACACTGTGTCTGCTGCCTGCCTGTTCATCACTTAGCCATCTAGGCTATCAGACTGAATGTCATAGAATCATAATGCTTGCAGTAAAGTGACCCTAAATATTCCTCCAAAGTACAAGATCTGTGGTGCAAAGCAAGGACAAGGCAGAAAATAGGAAAAGACAAATCAGCTTTAGTACTGTGTAGCAATGCTGCAGGGACTGGTGGACAAAAACACATACAATATATAGAAGATTCGGTCTTGCCTCGTTGTAGGCATCCACTGGGGTGAATTGTATTTCTTACAGACAAGGGGACGTATGATACAGATACATCTATGTATATAGTATATATAATGTCAATTATAGCATATATGCACAGAAAATATTGAATATAACAACAATGTAAGCATTCCTATTACATGGAAAACCTATAACCTTTTCTATCTTTTAGGACTAGTATTATGGCAGGAATCTATTTTTGTTGTTGTTGTTGTTTTGGTACCAGGGTTCGAACTTGGCACCTCTCACTTGTGAGGCAGGCACCGAGCTAAAACCCCAGCGGTAGGGATCTACTTATTGAAAATAGAAAGCTTAATCATCAGTCTCTCCCATTAAACCACAGCTCCGCGAGGAGTGTGTCTCCTGTAAGTCATTGTTCCCAGTGTACTATTGGGTTTGTAATGGTCAGCAAGAACCTGGCACGTGTGTGGATTGCACTGCTGTTACTCTGAGTGCTTAAGTTACTGAAGATATTTCCCTCTATCTAAGAAAAGCCATTTTTTATTCAGTGAAGTGGGCCATGGTAGAATTCATTTTTTAATTAAGTTGGCCTGAAACTTTGGGTTTGTTTTTACATTTATGAAAATTCAGGATTTTGTGATGATTTTTTAAAACGTCTACACGATATGGGATTAAGAGGAAAAAAATTAGTGTTTCTCTTTCACAAGGAAAAATATATAAAACTCACTGTAGAGAGAACTAAAGGTTTGAATTTGTCATGAGTTTTACTGTCTCAATTATTATGTTCTATGTGTAACCATTAAATAAGGAAAACATAAAAAGCCTCATTACAAGGATATGGGCAAAGAACACTTGGTATAATAAGGCTGAGATCACTAAAGCAAAAGAAGGCAATTGCTTTGCTAGGTAAATAATTTTGTAAATTTCCTCTAACCCAGTTTAAGTTGGCTTAAGCCTCCATACCCAGAAAGTGTCAGGTTGTAGTGACAATGGAATGGAACTAGATCTGAGATATCTGCTGCAGCAGGATTCCCCACAAGACATCATTTGTTGATTCTGGAGTAAAAAAGCACTCAAAATGCCTTTCATTTCGGTCCTAAAATCATTTGTTTGAGATGAAGACCTCCTTTCTTTTTTCTTTTTTGCCAGAAGTGTCCAAAGCCTTCAGCAAGATTGAGCTATTTTTATGAAAGTACTTTGCAAATTGTAAAGTGTGTTATAAAAATGTTCAGCACCATTTTTGTTGTGCTTTGAGATTTGACATCATTTCCTGTGGTTCGTCAGAGAAAGGTCCCCTGGGAGTCTAGCTCTAGTATTAAGCAAAATGTGGCTCTTCAAGCAGACTCCTAAGAAACGCATCCAGACATGAAAGGTATTTCCTGAAGGACAGAAAATTCATGTGCACCTGTCTCAGGGTGTGTGAAGTAAGGCTCATGTCTGGGTCTTCTGTTAATGAGGCCTTGCACAGCCCTTCAGTGTGGATGTTAGTTGTGGAAATGTCTCTGAAGCGAATTTAAAAAAAAAAAAAAAAGCTGCATAGCAGATGCGCAAGCGCCCCTTACCGACCCGCTCTTCAATAAGCATTGCCACAGCCACTGGAGGGCACGGCGCTCACCTAAGTCAATGAAGTTCTGAGCCAGGACATGTGCGAGTCCTGAGGAGCGGCCACCTCTACTCTCACGTCCATGAAACCGAGAGCTGGCACTCGGGCCTAGGAAGAGAGCCAGCACCCAGCAAAATTCATCTGCGGGGTCTTTCGCCGAGGTGAGCTAGGAGCAACTGTGTGTGGCGTGTTGTTTTTTAGAGGTAATTATGCTAAGAGATGCTACAGAAAGTACGTGCTCAAGAAATATTTGCTGACATATTGTTGGCGTCATAAACCTCTCTACTGAGGAAAAATGAATAATTTGCCCTAAACAACGTAAAAATTAGTAGGTAGAAGCGGAGCTTCTCCTTGTTTCCAAACCATGAGTTCTTTTATTGTCGTATAGTAGTTAGTAGCAGACGGAACCAGTGTAGATTTTTTGCACTGAGGGAATTTGATGCAAGAAATTGATTGTATCAATGCTGGACAAGCTGAGAAGACAGCAGTCACCCAAAGCTTAGCAAAAGCCACAGCAGCAAGACACCATATGAGAAGGAAATGGGCTGCAGGACCTCAGCTGCCCAGATGTTGGCTGGAGTTAGAACAGGGTGAGGACTTCCGGAGCACCCAGAGCCAGGGTCCAACACAGGCTGGGATACCTGAGGAAACAGGTGGTTTCTCCGCACGCCAATCTTCTCCCACTAATTCCTGTCACTGGCCAAGTGAGATGCAAGAGAGCCTGGGAAATGTAGTTCCCTTTGAGTCAAAGCAGAAGGGCGGGGAGAGGAAGGGGAGGGGAAGGGAGGGGAAGAGGAGGTGTAGCGCTGTGGTAATAGACCCAGGGCAAATCTTCAGGGACTGCCACACACTCCAAGGAAGGTTGACTCTCCCCAGTAGTCAAAGAAGTTTTATCTCATAGAATTTAAATTAATTTAATCTGTAGAGTACATGCCTTTGTGCATTTAAATTTCCCTTCATGGTAATTAGTGATCAGAACTCAGGATTGGTGCTTAAGGTTTAAATAATTAACCAGAATTAGTTTCTAAAGATAATCATAAAGTCGTGGCATCACCAAGAAAGAAAAACAAAAATCAAACAAACAAACAAACAAAAAAGACTAAGCTCTATTAGGAGCACCCATCCAGAGCTAACCTGGAAACTCTCAGAAGCCTTTTCTTTAATGGGTCACTGTGTAGGACAACCCCACCATACTTTTAGGGAGATTAAACTTTGGTCTGATGCCTGCTGCACCCAAGAGCGCAGTTGCTAATTACCCAGGATCACTGCTCTATTGTGCTTTTAGCCTTCTTGTTCATAGATTTCATCCAGAGAACTGGATGAAAACAGCTGGCCATACACCTACCATTTATATAAAAGTAAGTCGCAAATCATAATATTTGCCCATTTTTATGGCCTGAGTCTCACACCAACTCAGAAAATTCTATCTGGTAGTATAGCTGATAGGAGAGCTCAAACCTAAGGCCAGGTCAGTGGCCAAGTGATACAGACAGAGCAAAAGAAATAGAACTTGGGGCTGGAGATTTAGCTCAGCGGTGCTGCCGCCTGCCTCACAAGCACAAGGTCCCAAGTTTGATCCCTGGTACAAAAAAGAAAGAGAGAAATAGAATTTGATTTTCCTGACACAGATAGAGCAGGTTTTAAGGATTTTTTGAAATGTACTCTTCGAGTACTTGTCTAGGTCACTCGGCCTTTATAAGTCTTCCCCCAGGTGCCCAGAGGGGTGTAGTACATATGCCCTAGTCACTCCCTCCAGCAGTCCAAGCTGTGCTTAAAAGTTACTTTCCTTCTTTAGAAAACCCAGCAGTGACAATCACATCGAAACAAACGAGGGTAACGCCCTTTGTTTCACCATGCGGTTCAGGAGTGATGACAGCCACCAACTATCCACTGTGCTCCACGCACTGCTCTGGGTAACTTCACGTGGGACTCCTCCAAGCCCAGCGCTGCTCTGTTGTAAATACCATTACCATGTGCCTTTACAGGTGAGGAAATTGAGACAGAGAGGTTAAAATCCTGCCCAGTAAACGCGGGAGAGGCTTGTAAAGCTCCAACACCCTGACGTCTATTAATGGTTGTAGGAGCTACGCTAGATTCCTCTCTGCTGCAGTAGAGAAGCAGTCGGACTACACAGATTCACTCTAATGTGAATAATTGATAGACATTAACTTTCCTTGAGATGCTTTCACTTTTAAAAGAATTAAAGGAATTTTAACTACTGGATTTTTTACAATGTGTTTTCTATCTGCTGGACTGATGCTGGGCTGGGCACCCAGGATGAACCAGTAGTCACAGTCTGGGGACCCTGTTGGTTATGGGCACAGGCTCCAGGCACAGCTGGGTTTGAATCTCAGCCCTGCTGTCTGTAGATCTCTAAGCCTGCTATTTCACTCACACGGGCTTTAGTTCTCCCTCCTGCAAAAAGGAATAGAACAAGTGCTTCCTTGGGTGGCTTAAATGAAATAATGGCTATAAAGCATTCGGCAAGCCTAACAGGAAATACCTGTAGTAAGTACTCAGTCTCTGGGAACTAGCATAATTAAGAAATTCCTTTCTGGAGACACAAAAATGGAGAGTACAAAGTGGTTTATAAATGCTAAAGGGGACGAAGAAAGCAAAATGCAACAGTGGGATGCAATTAACTTTGAATTGTACCCCAAAGAACCTGGGCATCCCCAGCTATAGTTGGGGGGCTCAGGGGTAGGACTGGAGCACGGAGAAGGAAAGTGACATTCCACTATCCAGCTTCCTCTGTTTTTATTTCAACTGGGATCGTTCTAGTTTTCTCCAGTGTGGGTGAACTTTAATATTGGCCTCTTCTGTCATATTGTATCAGGAACAAATCTCTGTAAAATCACCACCAAGACTAGGAATCCTATATCTAGCTTTCCAATGGCTTCTTTGGAGAATTTTGGGTAGTAAGTCCCTTATGTTCTGTGACTTCTTTCTTGTTGCATGAGAAAATGTGTTGAATCTGTTTTATTATTATTTCTTTCAGGAAGAAAAATCTTTACAGTTTCTAGGCATGTGGGAGAAAGACACAGCTAGATTACTCCAGGAAACCATCGTCCAGCAGAATCACCTTCTCCACATTAAGCACTTCTGCTAAGTTGGTTGGTTAAGTTTCTTTACTTTTGCCACTTTCTCCCATATCTGAATTCAGAGACTTTCGAGAAACTTCCAGGTTATTCCTAGTAACTCTCAAGGCAGTGGAGCAGTCCAGGAGGGAAGTGGGAGGGAGATTCTGGCAGGCTTTCAACAAATTGGTCAACTCCAGTGCAAGTATTTGTAGCTGAAGAATCTTTAATCAGGGTTACATTAATGTCTTTTCCAGACCCCTTGCTGAGTTCATCACTACTCCCAAGTTCAGGGTGAAGGAACAATAGCACTTTTTATTGTAAAAGCATAGAACAAAATTTACCATGTTAACCATTTTAAGCTGCACAGTTCAGTAGCGCTTAGTATGCTCACTGTACAGCAGATATCTGGAACTTTTTTATCTTGCAAAACTGAAACTCACTAACACTTTTCACTTTCGCTAAAACTTCACTTTTCCCTCCTTCCGGTCCTTAGAGACCACATTCTACTTTCTGTTGTTATGAATTTAACTACTTTGGATACCGCCTATGAATAAACTCATACAGTATTTGTCTTATTTTCTTTTACCGGCATATTTCATTGAGTGTAACATCATAAGTTTCATCCATGCGGCAGCATGTGACAAAATTTCCTTCTTTTCTAAAAAAAAAAAAAAAAATGTATTAGTTTTTTTTTTTTTTTTTTTTTTGGTTTTTTGAGACAGGGTCTATCTTGTTGAGACTGACCTGGAACTCACTATGTAGCCCAGGCTGGTCTCGAACTCAGCAATACTCCTGCCTCAGCCTCCTGAGTGCTGGGATTTACAGGCATGCGCCACCACGCCTACACCAGGCTTTACTAGTACGTTTATGATACGTAATGACTACGTTCATCATGGGTAGTTGGTACGTGTACCTGATCCAACTGAATTCTTTTTATGCTCCCTTCATCTTCTCCCTCCCTTTATCTGTTGGTCTCCTTCCCATTTGCAAAAGATCTATCACCCTGTTTCCTATCATCTATCTTCTGCTTTGCTCTTCCATTTATTTATACTTTGGGTTTCTCATGTAAGAGAAACTTTGCAATATTCAAGCTTGCGTATCTTGTTTATTTAACATTATAGTTTCTAGGTGCAATGTTGTTATGTCTGTGTCTGGATGTCCCCCCAAAGCCTCATGCGGTCATAGGTGGTGCTTTTCCAGAAGTGGCTGGATTTAGATGCTAAAATTAGTTGATAGTGTAATCCTGGGGTCAAGGGCACTAGGATTAGGGTGTGTGTGCTCCCCACCCTAAGTAGCCTGGATAAGACAAAAGGGGCAGAGAGACGGTGCTAAAGCCCCTTGTACCCTCTACTAACCGCATCCAGTTTCAATGCGCTCCTGCGAATGCTTCCTGGGAGGTGCAGGAGAAACTTGAAGGCCACACCTGAGAGTTCCATGCTGCTTAGAGCTTCCTGGTTTTGTTCTATCCAAGTCTGCCAGGAAATACTGGCTCCAAGAAAAAGCAGGAAGAGGTCCAAGTGTGGGGAGAATGCCTGCTCCTCTGAAATCTTTTTGAAATAATACACCCTTATGAGGAGCACATAGTTTCTGGTGCTCCTTTAGCCAAAGCCTCTGAGACATTTCTGGGCTTGGCCTTGATAGTTTTAAACCACACGATGTCCATAATGTGATTTAGACTACGCCCATTCTCATCCCACTCATCTCTGAATGAAGTAATTTGCGCAAAATACCCGGCAGTCTCACCTCGATTATCAGCGGCAACTTAGTAAGTGAAATCATTGAGGTTTCAGTGATTCGCAAAATATTGGCAAGCAGCTTCTTGAACACCAAGTAGCAGCATTTTAGGGAGCTGATATTAATAAGGCGCTCATCGCTCTCACTAACGGAACCACTAGGTACCCTGGTGACCGAAATGAAGGTAGACGGATGGGAGTTATAGGAGGACAATGGGTCCCCTGTCTCTAATGTTAATGAGTTGGCCCGGCCACATACCCCATCTGTTCACACACTGTGACCTGCACATACACGCTACATGAAGGAAAAAAAGGAACAAAACATGCTTGAAACAATTGCCATCGAAGTTGGAGTTTTAGAAAAAGTGGATCCAGAAGGCTGATACTTACAGTTTAAATTCAACGCAGATATAAAATTGTCATCAAGGAGAGGATGTCTCTGTTCCTTTGCTCCTTTCCCCCCCTCTAACTGTGAATCATACTTAGCAGGAGGAGCTATGGGCGATCTGTAGTCAGCCAGCGGGCTGTCAGGTGTGGGAACTACTGTCCTGGTCTAGGCGCAGCGATAGGCTTAGGTGTGAAGAGCCTGGAACTTTGACTTCTTCAGGTGCACCCAGTATTTCTTATAATTATCAAAGCAGCAGACCAATCAGATCACCTGAGCCATGTTAGACTTTTAAATAGGGCACAGGTTTGAAGAATGACAAAAACCCTACAAAGTTGAAGTCTTGAAATTCGAGAGACTCTTGAAGAAGTGTGAGTAGATACCTTGGTTCTCACGGCAGAGAGAAGATGGGAGTTTCTAAGTCTGAGCTTTAAAGTTGTTATACAGAAAAACTGCCCGAGAAGGGGATTTAGGAACACAAAACATGCATTTCTAGAAAAGCAACACTAACGACAAAGGCAAAAACAAAAACAAAAAAATCTTGCAGGGGAAACAGTCCATAAGGAAACTGTTTCTATTCCTATTTGCAAACCCTAAATGTGCTTTACATGTTTTGGTTGTGGGGCAAAGAGGCAGTAAAATCCCAACTCTGAGGCGAGAGCTGCACGGCTTCACAAAGGCTGTATGCGGCAGCAGAAGGCCTTGTTATTTTCCATGTATTGCAGAGGTTCCATCTAATGGGACAATATGTACAGTGCCGTGCATCTCCCTGGAGGAAGAAAGGGAGAGGGAGGGAGAGAGAGCCCCCCTTCAAGGTACAGGGGATCAGGGAAAGTACTTTCTCCAGGGCTGCCAGTGCCCCCAGAGGGAAGCTACAAGGGGAGTTTACCATCACCATGCGCCTGTAAGTAATAGGTAGAAGGGCACAGAGGCCTCGGGAACTCTGGAATGAGGGTGCCTGAGGATACATCCTGGCTCTGTCACCAGGATCTGAGAGCAGCACCTCATCGCTTTGGGCCTCATCCCTGTCTCTCTTGGACTCGTATTCCTGCCCCTCCTCCGGACGGCTGTTGGGAGGATGGCGCCCCTGGAGCCACACCAGGCACACCTGTGCAGGCAGCCTGACTGTGTGTGCCGGGGCTCAGGGAGACCTCCGCTGAGCGGCCCAGCAGGCAGGTCCCGAGCACGCGTGTCATTTGCCATCAAGTGGTAAGAGCACAAGGTGTGGGCTTCTCCCTCAGAACTCGAAGGCAGCTGTTACTTCATTACACCATAGGAGCCGGAAGTCATCTGGGTCCTCTCTTGCCAAAGCCTCATAAACATCAAAAGGTAAAAGACAAAAATGAAATTGTGAGTCAGCAAGTCCCATTACTAAGCCACAATCCTATTTTTGTTTCTATTAAAGAGCAAAGCTTGAGTCAGGTGTGACGGCGCCCACCTGTAACTCCAGCCCTCAGGAGGCTGAGGTAGGAGGATCACCATGACTGACGACAGCCTGGCCTACATAATGAGTTCAAGCCCAACTTAACCTACATAGCAAGACCCTGTCTCAAGAAAAAAAAAAAAGAAAGAAAAAAATAAGACCTCCCTCCAATGGATACACACACACACACACACACACACACACACACATGATCCCAAGCAACAGGATTTCCCCCAGAATGTTAAAAAAAAAAATCCCAATTTACTGTGTTGAGTTGGCATTGTACAGAAATGGACAGCCATATTGGTCTAGAAATGTTAATTTTTATTTTATTTTTTTCCATTTGTGCAAGGGTGATGCACTGTATTAAATATGTAAGGTCATATCGACGTGGGTTTGATTACAGAAACTAATAAAGTATTCTCTAAATAATGAAAAAAAGAATACGATAAGACTACAAGAGCAAGAAGCAATTTAAATATGTTCAGGGACCATTTTCATCCTCAGAATTAAGGATTATTTTAATCTTACATCATTGCCTTTTCTCTTTTACTTTCCTTTTTAGTTTTATTTTAGGATTCCCTATTTTTAATGTTCATACAGAGATTTCTTTAACTGAAATACCGAATAGAGTCTCTGGTGTGAAAAACTATAGTAGTACACAGGATCCTAATGAGATAATTACTAATGTGAAATAGGAAGTAAAGGGCTAAAGGTATAGGGAAAGTGGGAAGGGTGGGGGAAAAGTAATAAGGGAGAGGAAAAAAATATGAGAAACTGAAAAAATGGAAATAAAGTGTTTGTAAATTGGGTGGGGAGGAGGGGCTGAAGGGAGGGCAGGGACAAGGGGAAAAATGAGAATCAAGACCTATTATGTAAAGGTACACGATCCCAATGGTGAATGTCACTGTATTGTATACCCAGATTGTACCAACAAACTCAATAAAAAGAAAAAAAAAATCTCATTTACAGCTTTAAATTCATATGCCACAGTTTGAAGCATAGAAATGAAAGAAGAATATTATATGGGAAATGAGATTTTTGGGAGGGCTATAATATACATAAAGTGAAAATAATTCATTATTCCCTAAAAGTCTAAGGCAGGGTGCCTCAGCCTGGGTCTATCAAGTTTCAGGGTGGACAAATCCTTCTAAAAACGAAAGCTAACGTGTCAGGCATGCATGTGTGTATTTTGTGATAGGGTTTTCAGCTTTGGTTGGATTTTTAAAACTTTGCCACCAAAATGATTAGGATCCACTGGACTAGTGACATATTTAAAAACTGAAAGACAATGTAGCATGTCTTAGAAGGCATTTTTCTGTTGCATCTGACCACAGATACCTCCTAATGTTCTGTTTCAATTCCCCAAAGAGCCTTCAGCTAAAGCATATTAGCACCTCCCTGGAGCAGATGCAATTTTTCTCCTGTCCCGTTTTCCTTACAGCAAGGATCCAGGCCCCAAACCAAGTAATCCCGCCTACACATCATGTGAAAAACATAAAGAAGTTTATTTTTAAGGGAAAATGACCTATTGGTCATTAGAACCTCATATTTCTAAAATGAATACTGATGCGGGATTTAATGCCAGAAGGTGAGGACGGAACAGGCACAGGACAGAGGAAGGGACTTCACACGGGGTCTGCAAACAGCAGAGGGAAAAGTAAGGCTTTGTCACTCAGCGCAGCCTCCTGCCACTGCCCCATGAACGCCTCATTCTCCTAATGAAGATCTTTCTGGAAAAAACTCTTCTTGTTTGCCTGCCTTTACGGCTCGGGTGATGCTGACAATCACATTAACTATCTTCATGTAACCCTCTCCCGCTGACATCGATGTCACCACCCTCATCCTCTTTGTCAGAGAGGAGGCAGCTGTGCTCAGGGACCGGCCACACAGTCTGGTGTGAGACCCAGGGGAGCGCGCATAACCCGAGATCTAAGCACGCAAGCGCAGTGATCCCTGCCTTCCCTTGCTTTGTAGCCTGCGTTCCCAGTCTTTAGGATTTGGGGGAGCATAAAGACTAAGCCGCGATGGAGTTGTCCAGGCTCCTCAGCATGGCGTTCAAGGCCCTCTCCCTGCGCTTTCTCTCCCCGAGCCTTTTCTTCTGGCCTCTCCATCCTGCACCCGTCAAGCTCCAGGCCCTGGAAACAGAATCTGTCCACCCTGCAGTGCAGCCCACACCCCTGCCTCTGTTTCCTCTTCCTAAAACTCCCCTTGAGTCTGGCAGATCTCCTTCCCACCCTCCGCCACCCTCACAGAACTACACACTCCGGCTCAGTCCTCAGGCCTCGGTCCTTGGATTCCCTGAGCCTGCAGCAGCCTTCCTCTGCAAGGCGTTTGTACATCCTCCTCTTACGCAACATCTGAAACCCTGCGGGTTTGGACATCGCATCCCCCACTCCCCTGCCCGGCCCCTCCCCGGGGTCTGCCATATGCGCCGACCCAGCAGGAGCCTTCCATCCCTCTAACTGCAGCTGAATCTTGCCGTTGTAGGGATAGAAACACTCCAAATAATAAGATCGGTTTTTTTGTAACTTTTGCTGGGTCTGCGAGTATAGTTCTCCTTCTAGTTCTTAAGGCTGAGAATAATAGGGATGAATTATTCGCGCGTGTGTACCTATGTTAGGTAGCACGCAGAACACACTGGGCTTTTCGCTGCTGCCTTCCATCCTGTGTGCGTAAGTCTGCTTTCTTACCAGGCTGTCACCCTGGAAGAGATGCACGGCCTGGGCAGCAGGTGCGCCTTGCATGTGCATCTATTTTACTAACAGGTAAGCAGAGGTCACAAAGAACGCACCCAGCTATGGGCGGAGCTCAGTTTCTCAGCTCTTCTGGCTGGCAGGGATTCTGTCCCCTTCGCTGTAGCATTTAGTGTTGGGCCTCATACCCAAAGCACCATCCACGTATTTTTTTCTCCTCTTTCATGTCATCTTCATTAAATAATGAGGTTTTTAAACTCCGTCCCCGCCCCTTCCCGTTATTGTATCGACTTTTGTGTTACTGTTGCAAACACTGGGATGCGATGACTTCCAGATAAAATCAGAGCAGAGCCGCGCAGGCTCTTCCCGTGCCGGGGTGACCGGCTTCTTTTTCGTTGGCTCACACTGCCCTCTTCTGGTCACCTGGAGGATTTGAAAATACAGGGCAGGAGTAGCACCGTCCTGCAGGGGGCAAAGGAGGGACGATACGACAAACTAAACCATTCCGATCAATGATCTGTTAAACTTATAGAAACTACGCGGCTCTACTTTCCATGCGTTCATTCATTCCAAATATTTGTAAATATTCTTAAAATTCGTGAGATTTTTCTTGTGCAAAGCTTGGAACGCGTAAATTAAAGGGCACCCCTTACACTGCAGTAACTTTTGGGCTTGGTTTCTAGTTTCACTGACAGCTCCCGGGTGACAGCTATGGTTTGTTTTGTCAACAAGGGGCTGCAGGCATGACAGGCCCTGCCACTCATCAGCCGGGTGACCAGGGTCCTAGATTTCAAAAATATACACTGTTAAGAAATCCTAGGTGCTCCACTATCATGTTACATTAAAAGGATGATTTTTTTTAAATTGTGAAACTAGTGACATGAGAGTCTAGAAAATTTTCTTTGTTTCCTTCCAGGCAGCATCTTATGAAAATACAGAAAATGAGAATTTCCTTTTAATTTTTGGTATAGTCTTAGCAAAAGACAGAAGATTTGACTTAAAAACTTGAGAACCCTTACATTCTATTTTTTAAAAAGTCTCATATCCAATGATAGCTTATAGTCTTTAGATTTTATAACTTTAAAATAAAAATAATAACCCGACATTAACTAGGCATCCATTATGACCACACAAAAGGGAAGCAATGGTTGGGATCTAAAATGTCCCCCAAGAACTAAGGATTAAAGGCTCAGTGGCCAGCTGATGAGATCTGGAAAGTGACTGGATCCTGAGGGCTCTGACCTCACCAATGAATTAATCCATTGGTGAATCGCTGGCTTAATGGACTTATCAGGAGGAAGGACCAAGATGGATAAGTCACTGGGGCTGGGGCTTTGAAGGGTATATTTTGTTCCCCACATCTTCCTCGCACTCTCTCTACCTCCGCTTCCTGGCCAACACGAGGTGAACAGCTTTGCTCCATGATGTTCTGTACCTCACCAGAAACAGTGGAGCCAGCCAACCATGGGCTGAAACCTCTGAAACCATGAACTGAAACAGATCTTTCCTCCTTTAAGGTGTTATTTTTTTACAGTGATAGAAAACTGACCATCACGAGGGATTTCACATACATTATCACATTATGTCCACAGAAAAAACTGATTTGTCTAACGGAACAGTGAGGTTCAGAGAAATTAAGAAACTTGCCCAAGGTCATGTGACTACTAACTAATAGAATTCAAACTGGCTTGGCTCAGCAATTTGTGTTTCATCTTCATTTATGCTCCATGAGAAAATTGCCAAAGAAAAAGTGAAATCTGGGAGTTAAACAATTATCCTATGTCTCTTGACTTCCCTGTGCTAGTATATACTTGGCCAACTGACATTTAAATTCTCATAAGCATCAGTCATGTGGCCATTATCCTACAGAAAATTACATACACCTAGTAAGTAAACCGAGAAATAATGTTCTTTGTATAACTTTAAAATTCGATTAGCATTGTAATGAATTTTTGCTTTGGATTCTTTGAATGACATAAACTTCTCTACAAATGCTTTCAAACATTAGCAATGGATATTTGAAGAAAAATGAAGAGCCTAATAAAGGGAAGATAATGCTTAAAGAAGTTAAAGTTTCCCACTGCTTTTTCATAACACTTGCTACTATTGTGAGTTTTACTCTGTAAATGTCCTGTAAAGAAAACAAACTATCCTTAACTCAAACCTGATAGAGTAAACATCAAAATATGCAACAATACATATGATGTATCAGAAACTTCCTATGCGTTGTTTCATCTTATCTTCCCCAAAATTCTCTAATGTATTAGACAAATGTATTCCCATTTTACAGGGAGGTAACTTGTCAGGTACCTTGCAGTAATCACAGCAGGATCCAGACACCCATAAGGTTGGTCCCTGACATCACGTAGCTGGTAGCACTGCCTAGCATATTTGAGGACTTCAAATGCTGGCATTATTGTGGGCTCAGGAAGGAAGATGTGTGAACCTCTAACATCTCCAGAAAGCACATGTGAAAAGGAAGAAAGAATGACAGAAGATCTGGTCACCACTGGTCATTAAGAGATGGTGGTGAGGGAATTTTTCAGACTATCCACCTCTGAAACCGCCCATGTGCAGGACTGGGTAAGAACAGGTGGAGACTCTTTTTCTTTTGACTTTGAGCCACCAGGGAGAAACTGAGAATGCTGCCTAATCAGCATCAGTGCTGTTCAGCTCCAAGTACCATCTTTGCCAAGGCAGTGAGGCAGGACAGAGTGCGGCCAAAGGTGCGGACTCCCTAGCAGTTGAGCAGTCTGAAGAAACATGCTTAACCTTAGTCTCATCCCAGTCAGACTCCCCTAAGAGCACTGTTCTTATTTCATAGTCATGGGTAAGAGAACAGACAGCACTCAGGGGAAAGCTTAGTGATGGTTTCAGCAGCTGTGGCTGGCCTTGCAAGGGACATGGCGTGCTTTCTCTTGCACAAATGAGGTATTGGGGAAGTTCTGGTAGAAATATCACAATGATTTCCAGCAATACTGTTTTTCCTTCTCCTCCAGGGGAACATGGTGTGTGTAGTGGGGGTAAGAAGGTAAGTGTTTCTCGTGACATTAAAGGCAACCCTGGATAAAACCTTTGGCTTCACTTGCTTCTAATTTCCTGCTTTCAAGGGCTGGGGATTTGGCTCAGTGGTTCCACTGCCTGCCTGGCAAACACAAGGGCCCGAATTCGATTCCCCAGCACACACACACACACACACACACACACACACACAAGGTACATAATTACCTGCTTTCCTCACTGATGTTATGTCACCTAGGTGAATGATAAAACACTGGGCTGAGCTCTGCCCATAGTCACTGTGGTAATGGCTGTTGAAAGGCTGGAGATTTAGCTCACCATTTCAGCTGCCTGCTTCGCAAGCACAAGGTCTTGATTCCGATCCCCGGTACAAAAAAAATTGCTCTGTAGTAAGCTGTGTAGTTCAAACAGAAACAACCTTCTCACTTAAGTGGCCAGTGCAAGTGTTCCATGGGTAATTTTCCACCTACAGGGCTGAAAACGGCACCCCCAGAGCTCGCTAAGTCGCCATTTTCTGAACCTCGCAGCACACAGCGGGAAGAGCCATGAAGTTTGATTGCGCATGTGCAGACCACAATGGCCGCCCGTTCCCTTGCCTCTAGTCACCTTGATGGCAAACTTTAAACCACCCTGTTTCTTATTACGTAAATATTCTTGAATCTCCGGGAGGATAGTTTGAGATTTAGAGATTAATCCCTGATGAGTATTATTATTTTATTATTGTTGTTATTATTTTTGCATTAGTGAATTGAATGAAGGCCTTGAACGTGCTAGGCAAGCCATGTACTAGTGAGCTACACTCTTCTTTTAAGAATAATTTGTTTCAGTGGTTGACTTACTGTACAGTGGGCAAAGCAGGTCTCATTCGGTAACACAAAGCTTTCATACCTGCTGGCTAGGCAGTTCATGAACACTAACACTAAGCCACAAAGCAATTTTCCCTTGAAAATGAGACTCTTCATTCTCCAGATGCCAAGGGCAAAGTTCAAGAGGGCACAGTGAATCAGCATTGTGACCCAAACACCAAACCCACCAAAGCCCCTTCTTCCTCCCTGGGTGTCTTCCTGGCCCAGTCTATCACTCTCTCTTTGTGGTTCCTCAGCTGCTACACCTCTCTCTCCTTTCATACACTTGCAATGATGTGTACTGACTGGAACTGCACTCTAATAATCTTTTAAAGCCAAAAAAATGCCATATATAAATTATACACCATTAATGCCGGAGCTGAATTTAGTCCTAGGCAGACTCTCCCAGCTCACTTTGTTTCCTGAAATGTCTCCGTGGCACAGATAAGAAGATCCATACCCGGAGTTCTGGGGATGGGACAAGCTAAGTGCTCAGGATCCTGGATTCAGGTGAGTTCTTTCTCTGTCTCTGTGCCAGCCTCATACATGATATGATATAAAGATGTTTTAAGAGCCCCACAGGTAGGCTGTCAGTCGTTATTAGTCTAAGTTTACAGATGAGGAAAGGAGGCAACAGCAGTTGACTGACTTGCTCAAGGTCACCTTGCAACAAAGGGGTGGAAGGAGGGTTCAGAGCCAGGGCCTCTTGGTTCTGAGCTGAGTGTGTGTGTGTGTGTGTGTGTGTGAGTGTGTGTGTGTGTTTGTGTACATCTATTTGGGTATGTCAAGCTCAACATAGGAAATACATAGCTCCATCTATCTTTCAGCAGATAGATGAAAGATACCCCCAGAAAACAAACAGAAAGGGACCCTCTCTGCATGCCACAGGCAAAGTCCTCTGGAGAAACGAGACCAGAGACAGCATGATGCAGATGGCAGACAGAAGAGAAAATTCTGTGGGTGGCCATGGTACTAAGAATGTGACTTTGGAACAGTGTGTGCCTCCTCAGAGAGGCCTCACTGATCATGATGTACAAGCCTCTGACTTGTACCTGGAGAGCAAAAGCTGTGTTCTACAGAAGCAGTCTGGGGCTTTGTATTTCCTGTCCCTTTTGTGTGTGGTTTCCTCCTACATTGCAGCCTTTTCAATAATGTGACTTCCAAAGTGAACTGCAAGTGACCCACTGTCCCCAGATCTTTGGATTTGGCTGATAAGAAGGGGGAGTCGGAGCACTGGTGGTTATAATACAGTTTTCGCAACACAACTCCTCCCAGTCCAACAGGTAGACTTTTTCTGAGTCTTTGACATGCCACAGTCGCCTACCAGTGTTTGTTCTGGTTGCTCCAGGCACCTGGGAGGATATAATCGCTGTTGTTAGCTCCTCTGCCAGTGACTCCATTCCATTAAGTAACTTAGAAAGACATGGGGTGGCTTTTCCAGTTAGACACTGAAAGAGGGTAAACTCCTCGTCTCCCATGGATTATATGAGAAATGAACTCAAAATCAGAATATATGGAGTGACTCAGATCCTGACCACTGTCTAGCTTTGGAAAGGACTTGGGGGACCTGGGTCTTAGCATGTAAAACAAAGGAAGATGATACTTGCGTGTTTACAAAGTTCTGAGAAGACTTACTTCAAATTTTGAGTATGGAGGTGGTCCACCTCCTCCTAAAAGGATGGATATTGGACAGATAGCATCTTTTCTCTTGAGGCTGGAATTTTTATCTGACTTGTGTATTCATAGTTATGGGCCAAACCTTCATTTAACATACAATTATGAGCTTAAAGTGTCAGGAAGGGTTACCACCTTGAATAAGTCGAGACTTGAAAAGCATGCAAAACTCAATATTAGGAAAATATGAAGGGAAATTACAAGGGGGGTTTCAAGTTTTATTTGAGCAAGAACAAGGAAGCGAGTTGCCGCTGCCCAGGGCAAGTGATGTCATGTTGGCAGAGAGGAAGCAGGACGTCCTGTACCACATCTCTGCGGAGAAGCTGTTCAGAGAGCTGAAGGCAAGTCAGTGGAAGCCCATGATTTGTTGGGGATTTTTGCAAAAGAGGTAGCTGGTCAAATGCAGCTGATCAAAGGCAGTGTGGGCTCTGGAGCTGAGGCACATCTGGGAGGGGGCCAGAGAAAGAGGTTTCTTACCTTCTTGAAATGATTTTTGTGCAGCCATGGGCAGCATGGGTATATCAGGAAGGTCATTCACCCAGTTTTTCAGAACAATTTGAGTAGTCTCGTTCTACTAGACTAAGTTCTGTATTTCTTTGTATCTTCCTTTCTCTCTCAAATGTCAGCTTTTTATCACAACTCACAGTTGTGATTTGTGCACCACATAAATCTCTTTTTGTACTTGTAGAAATGTGAGAAGAAAGGCTTTCAGTGTGGAGTGTGACCACTCAAGATCTCCACCCAGGATGCTTTAACTGGCCTGCTACAGCTACATTAGCGTGCACGACTGCATATCCATCAACACGAACAGTTCCCCCCTTTGTTGTAAGGCTGTCACGGGACCTTTGGTCAATCCATGACAAGACTAGTATGCACCATACCTGCTTCTCCAGTAAACGCATCAACCAGGGCTGGGGATTTAGCTCAGTGGTTCCGCTGCCTGCCTGTCAAGGGCAAGGACCAGAGTTCAATCCCTGATACAACAAAAAAAGTAAATGCCTCAACCAAGGCAATTAGCTTTGACCAGACGGACTTGTTCTATGAACCAGATGTTGTCACCCCAAAATCACTGTGTCTCCCCAGGAATGCCATATCCTACATCGTGGCCATCTTTTTAATACATTGCCCTAGAATTTTGTCTAGTGTCATCAGCCTCACTGACTATAGTGTGCAGAGTCTAAATCCATTCGTAATGTGATTCTGTTCTCTCCTCTCTCTTTTCCTTCCTTCCTTCTTTCCTTGCTTCCTCCTCCTCTCTCCTCTCCTCTTCCTCGCTCCCTCCCTCCCTCCTTCCTTCCTTCCGTCCCTCCTTCCTTTCTGATGTCATTAACATCTGTGACTTCAGTGCCTCAGCAGAATTCTCTAGTGTCTGGAACAGGGAGGTTGCTGTTCCTTTCGCCCACTTAAAGCTCTCCTCACACGTGGGTTCTGAGCACTGAGCTGGCTGCACACTTCATGGGTCTCAGCCTTGGCTGCAGACTAGAGTTGCCTGCATAGCTCAGATGCCTGCCAAGGTCTTGGGGCCCTGACAAGGAACCACTGCTTTCAACTAAATATCAGCTGTTAGGGTCTGAGATCCTTTCAAGACTGTGATGGGCTTTGAAACTCAGACATTTAAAAATGTACTAAGCAAAAATTCAGGATTTATTTAAAGCAGACAGACAGGTCCCATTGAACAATTGAAAGGCAGTGATTATAGAAGCATAAAATTCATTTTTCCTGTCTCTAGAAGGCAAAACTTGTACCTCTGTATGAGTTTACAAGGAAATAGATTTTTGTTTAATATAAGAATAAAATTCTTAACAATTACGTTTTCTAGAAAACTAAATGAGTTACTTGGCAAATTATTAAATTCTCATGATCGCTGCTGTTGAATTTTTTACACCTACTTTCCAGGGAGAATGTCGTATACATACAAAGAGCCATTACGTTTTAATTAATTAATACATTTATGATTTTATTAAACCTTCTTTTGACCATCTAAATGGCCTGAGGTTAGAATTGGTGGTTGCCTTGCTACCTCCCAATAATGTTCGGATGTCTATTGACCACCTCTTCTGAGAAGCCCAGTGATAAGGGTGCTGTACTATTAGCCAAGAGTTTGCAGAACACAATCCATAATGTACTAGGCCACTTTCTGTTACTATAACAAACTGCCCAGGACTGGATAATATATAAAGAGGAGAAGTTCATTGATCACAGTTTTGGAGACTGAAAGTCCAAGGTCAGGCAGCACCATCTGTTAGGCTGCTGATAGGAGCTTCTTTGGCTCTGACAATGTGGTGGAGAAGCCGGAAGGGAAAAAGCCCTATGCAAAAGAGAAACTTGGCAAGTCAGGAAGCCAGCAGGATTCGGGGATCAGGTTCACTGTTTTTGTAACAACTTGCTCTCCAGGAACTAACCTGGGTCCCTTTATTGTAGTCTTGAACTCGTGGCCATCCTCCTGCCTTAGCATCCTAGGGTGCTGTCCCTGATGACCTCTTTACTTCTCACAGGGACGATCTTTGAAAGATCCTCCCCCTCTCAATATCCACAGTGGGGGCCAAGTTCACAGTGTGTGAGCATTTGGGGAGCGCACTCACACCCTATCCAACCATGGCAAACATTCCCCAGGCCTGGGAAGACAACAGTTACAGGAAACACGTTCTGAGTCAACACTCAGAGCACAGTGAGAGTGAAATGTGGAATCCTAAAACCCTCTGTCCTTCTCTTTGCTTTTCTGGCTATTCCGATCTCGAACAGGTAGATTGAATCCTATGAAAGGTACTTTCATAGTTCAGGTCTTTATTATATCACAGGAGATTTTTGATCCTCACTCAATTCCCCAATGATCTAAAAGCAGTC